GAAGGATGCGAGAAACGAATGCACCGTTGAGAGATAGAAGACTGCGCATCGTCCTGACAGGGACATGTACCACAAGCTGGGCAAGAAGAGAAACAAGATGTGGGAATATTTGTTTCAAGGCCAACCCAAGACGCCATTCGAGCATGACTACATAGTTCGCAAAGCGATGGCACAGGAAGCGTATAGTGGCTACCATAAAGCGCAAGTGGGGTCGTTTGCGATGTTCGTAGCAAGATGCGAACGAATGACGTTTGGAGGAAATCAGGCAATGCTGACGTACGATGGATACAGCAAGATTGCCAAAGAATATGATGCGTGGAATCCGATCGAGAGCGGTGAGGAGACTGAAACCTCAGACCTCGAAATCGAGGAGCAAGTGAAACGTGTGCGGGAGGGAATGGAAAGCGTGCCTGCATGCAACGCGCCAAGCCTCCAGGAAAAAGAAGTTCGCACGAAATCGGCGGGTGCGAGCAGTCCAACGCGTGACGTGACCGACAGGGCGAGTTCCATTGAACACATGCAAACGGATTCGCTTACGCCAATTCAAGCACTAGAGAATGTACTGATTCATGGCAATCGTCAAGGGTTCCAGGAAAAGTCTCAATCTCGAGGAAACCCGGTTAACGAAATGCGGCCAGACGATGACGAGGATGACTTTGCAGTTCCAAATGCCCTCCCGAAGCTGATGCCCAGTGATGATATCCCTGATAGCATTGCGCAGGCCAGTGAACAGCCGTACTTCATTTCAGACAAGGTGCCAGAAACGACGTCTGACAAGTGGGAGCATCACATTTTGTGGCATATGGACCTATTCGAGCCATGCATTGTACAGGGGAAGTGGATGATGGCAGTCCATCTAACAAAAGGATGGAAAGTCAGAGCCAGACTGGATGAAGCCTCGTGGCTGAAATTGACGAAGAGCGAAATCGTATTTCGTGTTAGGAAAGAAAATGACGGAGCGGACGAAGCAGCTATTGAGGAAAAGGCTCGATTGCTATTCGAATGTCTTCACTCAAAAAACCGACTGGAATATAAACACGGATTCTATGACTTGGAGTGAAGTCGGTTATACAAGAGCATCAACTGGAAGATCGATCTTCCAAGCTGGCCATGGCGTTGAGACAATCCGGTTCGGATGCTCACAGATTGAGGGGGAGTCGAACACGCAGTTTGCAACGAGTGTTGGGGAAGCGTTGAGTCAGACAATCAGCAAGATAATGGAGGCGACCGAGGTTCCACGGAATGTCGACAAAGTGGCATCGAACGTTACATCGTACGGACCTCCTCTAATAACGCAGGCGGAAAACGAGTGTGCATCGCAGATGGCGAGCCCCACTCCTTCCGGGAGTGGGGCTGTTGCAAATGAAATGCAACAAGGTGGGTATGCACAACGTGCGAGTGAGGT